CGATGATGAATGTCGTCGTACGACATCGTTTCCCATCTAGATCGTTATCGTTTTATCAAAACGCTGCTATTTCCTCCCCCCCCCGTGTCGCGCACGAATCGAACAAATGTTCCCTCGAACGGGGTCGTTTCCATCGTTTCATAAAGAACTTGACGCGAAATAACGAGGGCGTATTTCGGTTTTTCCTTCATGGCAACCGTGCCGAAATAAAGTTTAGCCGGCCTTTACGAGTGTAAAATAGATTGTCCTCGTTATTGTAGGCGATGCATCTCCATTAACGATGACACATTTCCACGACATGGTGAAAAACGCGGTGTTCAAATGCAACGTTGTTCCCTTTCTAAGTGCGCGAGTTGCAAAAAAGTAGGTCTCTGGCAGAGACATTGTCATTGAAAATATTATACGCAGTGAATGGAGAGAGAGGGAGGGAGGGAGAGAGACAGAGAGGGGGAGAGAAGGAGAGGGGAAAAAAAAATGCTGGGGGATTTCGCAAGCGCGAATCCTTTGAGCATACAACAAAGAAGGGAAAAGAAAAATGAAGCACGAAGAGGGAAAGGAATAAAATAGATCGGGTAAACAGTAGTTGAACCCTTTCTCGCATTGTCTTTTTTTCCTTTCTTTTTTTCCTTCTGCCTTTTTTCCCTTTCGTTCTAATTTATATTCCGCCCGACAAATTGCCTCGTACACTTGGAATAAAATTTCTCCGGTGCATCGACCTTTCTATTTCCGTTCCAACGCTAATAGAAAAATAAACACAAACCAGAGAAGATTCACCAGAATGGAATCTACGTACGTTATTCACACGCACAGTGTGCAATTAAATATTAATCGGCCTTTGATTCGGCAAAGAGGAGATAATTATAATATAACAGGAATTAGACGGATGCAAGATCATCAGCATCTTTCGTACGAGGAGTTTCCAAGTTTCACGTGGTGGAAATACGTAATACGCTACTAGCTAAGTCTACTTTCATTTCTTCCTTTTCAATAATGTGTCGTTGCTCTGGAAAGTCTTTCATTCTACGTTCCTCACCGGGGAGATGATACCTCCGACGATCCCATTGTAACGTGTACGTGCTCTTTGTCGCGAAAACGGCAGGAATTCGCACTTTCGTGATCACGAATAAATTAACGCCGGCGCACGGCGTCCGCGAATCTAAAGCTACGGAAAAGCCTAAGAAAATATATCCTGCCCCCATTTTCTTCACTTTCATTTTTATAATAACTCGAGAGACACACGTGATCACAAGTGTCGCGAAAAAGCATTCCTTTATTAGTCTCGTTTCCCCTCCACACTTATTTGGATTTCGAGGTGACCCGAATAACCTCGCGCCTACTCCTATCTGTTGTAAAAATGATACACCTAAAAAATATGCATTATGTGTATCCACCACGATCTTGTGAAGATACGAACGCGTATTTTATGACACCTGGCCGTCAATCTTTCGCAAGATCGATCGTTCCTTACGATGAACGATATTCTACGCGAGATGATATACTTAAAGTTGTAGTTGTATGTAAGGATACCCGTTTTTCGTAGCATCATTATCATGACGACAATTTTATTTTTAAATAAAACTGCAAACTCTGGAGACAGCTACCGCCCACATTCCAATAAATAACACGTATATATTCTCGTTACATTCAAATTTGATCCGCGTAATCTCTACAAGTGCAAATCCTCCGAGAATTCCCTCGATTCTCCACTCTATTTTCCCACCAATGATCTTCGAATCGATAAAAAAAAAAAAGCACGCAACGATTCAATCTTTAATTCAACTTGCGATAATAAATTGCGATCCGAAAATTCGTCCCTACTCTCCATCCCCATAACTATGATCTAACGACAAATCGTCAAGTTAAATTTCCAAAATGGTGTAACAGACGCGATCATTAACTTTATGGCATCCCGATCATTCGATACAAGCATGGACCCGTCACTATCAACATTACCATAAATCAAATATCTGGTAAGTTATTACCTGTCTGGTGTCATGGACTGACAGGCAAAGGAAGATCTAGGTGGAGCTTCGCCTGAGATCGTCCCTGTCAGCCAGCGTATGCACGAGATTCTACGTTCACCCCGTAGCATCTCGTAGCTAGCATCGTTGGTTGGCCGGGCGAGCAAGAGGAGAGAGAGAGAGAGAGAGAGAGAGAGAGAGAGAGAGAGAGAGAGAGAGAGAGAGAGAGAGAGAGAGAGAGAGAGAGAGA